GAATGTATATTGAAAGCACTACAAATATTGATATTTTTCCAAGATTATGTGTAAAAATCAATCGGAAGTAGTAACCCAGAAGTAATACGACGAATTTTAACCTCTAGCGCGATCAACACGGTCAATCATCCATACTTCTTTCTATTATTTAAATTGTCATTTAAATAACCATAGAAAGAAATGTGACAGAATTTATTGCTTACGAAAAAGCGGGAAACTACACAGGCATTTTTGCAAATAAGTTTCCGCCGTTTTCTATCAAAAATTAGCAGTTTATTGTGAAGAAACTGTGCATTATCTTTTATTTAAAGTATTCTTCATTACTAGACACTACTTTTTCCCCATCTTCCTGTGAGTATTCGGATTATACGTCGGAAGAACTCTTCATCTTTCGAGAATATCCACGAATCGACCCATTCCTTGGTTTCTTCAAATAATCTAAATTTCTGCTCAGACAGACCATGTGCCATCGACCGAAATAGGTGATAATCTGAAGGAGCAAGTTCTGGCGAATACGGCGGGTGGGGTAGGACTTCCCATTAAAGTGTTTCCAAATAGCAAAATCAATTTTCATGCAAACCGGCGTTCAATGTCTCTTGGCTTCAGTTCGTATGGTATGGAACCCAACTTCCTTGTTTTTGGATCATTCCCAATGATTTTAAAACCTGTGAAATTGCTTGCTGAGTCACTACTAATGAATAAGAGCAAGTTCTTTTTGCATTTGGGGCGAACCTTCTTCCAATAATTCTTTGTCCTCGTACGATTTCGGCCTTCCATTGCGTTCTTTGTCTTTCACGTCGACTTCTCTCATTTAAAAGAGTCTCACTATATGCTTCTTCAAGCAATCGATGCGCCTCAGCCGCAGATTTCTTTAAATTAAAGAAGTTAATCAAAAATTCCCGCAAATGACGCTTATTTGGCACGAAACTATACTTTTTTTTAACCAAAACAATTACGTAATGCTAATATGGAATCACAAATACTTTAAGGTTATGTTGTTACTAGATGAACAAACTTTACAATAAGATTTAACATCAGTCAATTTCTACGTAACCTACCTAGTGCCATCTTGTGACGAACAGCGAGAGCTTATTTGTACACCCATTAGATTTTTGATGCAGATGAAATAAAATTTTACGAAATATTTTATTTCGAGATAAAATATGAGATATCAGAATAAAAAAAAGTTTATATATATATATATATATATTTATTTATTTTTTGTTCCATTGTTCTGCACAAAATAGTAAAATATTAGGTCTTATTTATTAGAATCGAGTTGATTTAGTCCCGGTAAATTTTCGAGAAAATGTTTAAGTAAAGTTAACTACCTTAAAATGTGTTGTAAAAATTTTTTGAAAGAAATAGCTTATTTGTTGTTATTTCAAGAGTAAATCCTATATTTTTACAGAAAAGCATTTAATTTCGTCCTTTTATTGTCCTTTTATTATTACGATTCTCTCCCAGATCATCTGAGTGAGAAAGAAAATCTGGTAGCCAAGATGTTTTGGTTTATAAGGTCGGTTAGCAGCTATAGTTTGTCTACGGTAAGAACTCCCCCCGTCACAAAGTCTGCTGCTACGAAAACAAGTTTCTTGACTCTAGGGCTAACACAATAAACTGAAGAAAAAAAGATTACCTTTCTCTGGCATCCGCGAGTCAAAACTTGTCCTAAACAGTGACCCCACACCCCTACTTGAAATTGTTATACCTCGTTACCATAGTCACCACCATGGGTCCAGACGAAAGGCTAGAGGAGTTCTTATTTTAGACAAACTATAGGCGTACATATATTGAAACCTTGTGATTAGCAGTAGAACTTACAAAATGATGTTACCGTGTTGTTCTTTAGGATGTGTTTACCACCTCCGGATTATGTCGTAATCATTTGAAAACCACTCTAATGTTATTTCAAAGCTGGAAAAGAGTAGAGAGGTTGCATTTGAAATCAAATTATGCCACCCTCCCCCCAGAGTTTACGTTTAGGCACTATAAATAGGGATGCGAATTCAATAAACCTGGAACCTATGATACCTTACGGCAATATTATTGCTATTATAAAAAATAAGAAAAAGTTCCGCAGTGGACTGATCGTTAAGACACGGTTCCCAGCAGATCACCGAAGTCAAGCATCACTGGCTACGGTCAGTGTGCGGGTGAGTGACCACTTGGATCAGCCTGCGTAGGGACCGAGGGTGTGCGGTATGGGTCCTCGTTAAACTGTTCTACCGTAAAGTGCTCGACTTCACGTGCAGGTCATCGGGCTACCGAAGCGGGGGTGCCATCCCCTCTGCAGAGGATCAAGAATTGTGATGGCATGTTTTCGTATCATCCTCAGGGATGTTTCCCAGACTGTCGTCAATAGCCCATTGTGCAGCTCTAGTGCGACGTAAATTAACAACAACAAGACACGGTTCTCAGCAGATCACCGAAGTCAAGCATCACTGGCTACGGTCAGTGTGCGGGTGAGTGACCACTTGGATCAGCCTGCGTAGGGACCGAGGGTGTGCGGTTCTCGACTTCACGTGCAGGTCGTCGGACTACCGAAGTGGGGGTGCCATCCCCTCTGCGGAGGATCAAAATTGTGATGGCATGTTTTCGGATCATCCTCAGGGATGTTTCCCAGACTGTCGTCAACAGCCCATTGTGCAGCTCTAGTGCGACGTAAATGAACAACAACAGCTATTATAAAAAAATTGAAATTATTTTGCTGTAAGCATATTTGCATTTTTCAATTTGTACATTCTCTTACGAAAAAGTTCTTTATATTACACGTGCATATGTTACTGTGAATGACGGAAATTGGTGATTGTTGTGACTTCCACCGGCAATCACATAGACACTTTGGTAAATGTCCGAAATATATACTAGGTCTAGTTAAGTGCCACCGGTATGCCCTACATCAATGTTTTTTAAGGTTCAGTGCCACTGTCCAGTATGCATTTAACAGTTACTCCGAACACAGATGTTTCTCCTAATCTTTCCTCAGCAGATATTATAATATCGAATAAATATAATAATATCAACGAATAAATTAGTTTCAAATCGGGAATAACAAATATTTCGAACATACACCAAAGTGATTATGTGACTGTTGACATTCACCGGTGAAAGTCGACATTCTCTTGATTTCGGTCACTTGCGGGCACACATTTTAAAAATTGTTCCCGTGTTCATGAGAGAAGTGGCGAGCAAAAGTGCAAGTCTGTCTGAAATTCCACGCTCTTAGGAAAGCTTAACAACCCACAATCAAAATAAAAACAATTTTAATGGATACATCTTGTATATACAAATTATCATTGAGGGAAATCTCTTGGTGGTCTTCTTCCTAAGGGAGTACCCACCCAAGGGTAGTACTTAGGGCAGCCGGTGGTGCATGTCTTCATGATCCTTAGGGGCTCTTTGTAAGAGCAGACTTCTTTCTTTGGACAGGGTTGGATGGGTGTACGAACCGGGAACACTCTATGCCTCATGTATTCAACCACCTGTCTCAGGGTGACTGCTTGAACTCCTTCCATCGTGAGAATTGTGTCAAAAAACTGTAAGAAGCCCTCCAGACGATGCTTATCTCTCAGCCAAGCTTCGTGCAGGAACACTGGGAATGGAGCCTATTTCACACGAGACACAAAATGTAGTTATTATGAAATTAATCTTTTAAATAATTTCGCAAAACAATAAGGATACTGTAATGTATTCATGGCATATTGATACACCATAACATGACTCTTAATGGCNTGGCTGCGATCAGTAAGCGGATGGGTGACCACTTTAATCAGCCTGCGTAGAGGCCGAGGGTGCTCTGTATCGGCCCTCATTAAACTGTTCTATCGTAAAGTGCTCGAATTCGCACGCATGTCATCGGGCTATCAAAGCAGGGAAGCCATCTCTTCTGCAGAGAATCAAATAGTCAATCTGGCATGTCTTCGGATCATCCTCAGGGTTGTTTCCCAGACCGTCGCCAATAGCCCACTGTGCAGCTCTAGTGTGATATAAATAAATTACCTAACTATAGTTTGTCTACAGTAAGAACAACCCCCGCCCCAAAATCTGAGGCCGGGTGCAACTATGGAAACAAGAATAGCGTATTTCAGGCAGGGTAGTTTCTCTTCACTCTTGGGCTAGCACAATAGATGGAAGAAAAAGAGTTCCTTTTCTTTGGCCGACCTGAGTTAAAACCTTTCTATAACAGTGACCCCACACCCCTACTTGAAATAGTTATACTTCGTTACCATGGTTACAGCCACTGGCCCAGACCAAAGGCTAAGAGAGTTCTTACTTTAGACAAACCATACCTTCCTCATTTGATGTTTTTGAAATGTTGATTGTTGTTGTTAATTTACGTCACACTAGAGCTGTACAATGGGCTATTGGCGACGGTCTGGGAAACATCCCGGAGGATGATCCGAAGACATGCCATCGCAATTTTGATCCTCTGCGGAGGGGATTGAAATGTTGATGTTTTTTAAACTTTCTAATCGTATCTGTAACGAATCGTATCGCAAACGAAAAAGTACCGCCGCTACTTTCTCTTTAGCTCAGCGATTTCTAACTTAAGTGATCTACTTTTTTTAAAACGTCATTAAATGTAAATTGGGTGAAGAACAATTTACCCTGTTTGAGTCGTAATGGCGCTTGAAATTCTTCATGAGAAATTCCTTCGTGTCCAAAGCTGTCTTCGGTTGCGGAGTGCAAGCATCCAGCATGGAGCAGTAGAAATCTCCATCCTTCGAGTTGCGGTGATACTGAATCATCGGCACTTCCCATAATCCAGGAAAGTTTTCATTGGGACATGGTTCTATCTGGCAATCCTACAATAGAAATTCATTTTAAATGAAGAACACATTTAAAAATCTAAGGAATAATTTAATGGGAATAACTGATAGAAATTGAACGCGATATGATATGATAAAACGGACTATCTTTCCCATTTCGCATTACCTATAGATTCAACGGA